TCCAACGAAATTTCGCAAGTTTCGCGAAGCGTTATCGTTACGTCTCTGAGTTTAACAAAACACTCGTGCGACGCGGTTAACGCTACTGTGGCGCGCCCATAGAGGAAGTAATCAACCCGGAATAAGTTATTGGTTAATTTATGTAAAGCTACTTAAAATTGTCGAGAAAAGCCCTTCAAAATTTGCGGCGTCATATATTTACATAAAAGCCGTTCTTAAGCGAAGTCTTGCTGGAGGTAAATTTAATTGTTTGAAAATTTCCTAATGGGCGCGTTTATCTCTACGGCATAAATTATATGATCTTAAGATAATGAGTGAACATTGTGCCGCGGTTAATTCCTAATTAAATTAGATCCAACGGAAAGGAAGACCGTGAAAAATACGCGGAATAAAGGGCCTTTGCGGCAACGCGAAGCCCTATAAGGCCAAAATTGTTGCTGTTTGGCATACGCTACAGGTTTAGGTTAAAAATCTGATTTAATTTCCGAAACATTTTTACATTAGTCTGTCTTCAACAAGGCGGGAACTACATTTTTTTTATTTTAATATTATATTTTCAATTGCTATAATATTTTTGGTCTCCATTATCATTTCTTATTTATTTATTTATTATTATATGAGTTAAAAATAACATTAAAAACTGTGAAACTTTCTAGAAATTTTATCTAATGAGAGTTTTTTTCCAGCAAAAATCGTTGATCGCTGGTCTAGAATTTTTTTATAAATTTTCCTCATTTGCAAGTCAAAAATTCGGATAATTTACGGCTATAATTTGAGCAGCACGGAGTTTGAAGCTATATTGAATGCCCAAAAAAGCCGAAACATTTAATCTTAGCGGAAAAAGGTTCAACAAACGAACAGATAATATCCTGGAATAATTTTTATTACTTTACATATATAGTTTGGTCTTCAAATGGTTCCAAGTCACTGTAAAACTGCGTATTTCAATATAGATAGAATGGACATTAAAAGCAACTTAGTATTGATAGCCATAGGCAACGCCTTCGATGATAGTAACTCATTCTCCTCTGCGATATTAAATTTCAAATCCGACGCCTCATTTGTTTGTTACGATCATCAATTTATTTTTATTTTTTTTGATATTTCTTTTTCTTTTATAAGGGACTGATTGTTTAATAATCCTTCCAAGAAAAGGAAGAAAAATACTACCGTGTTAAAGAAATGTCTAGCGTAAAATATAATAAACTTTTTAATGATTTTTTTTCCTAAAGTCAATAGATTTCAGCGTACATTTTGAAGATTTTTATAAATTATCTTGAGCAACTTTTTCCAAGTTTAACAGTAATCGTAACTTTAACCGTTGCTGATGCATATCTTTATTACTCTCCCGGCTTATAGCTAGGGTATTTTTATATTTTTTTAGATTGTGATTTCATCGGATATCAGAACAATAAAACATCAACTCTATATGCAAACAAATCGCTCACATTTTTTAATAAACGTAAAATATTTTCCAAAAAAAAAAGAACTCATGCGTGGTTTTTAAGTGCATTTTGCCGATATTGATGTTTATTAAAAATGGCCGCTTTTAGTACGTGCCTATACGAAGCACCGTTTAATTCCGTCGACAGTTAAACATATCGGACGCATATTTTTCTAAACCAATATATACCACTTTTCTGTTGTGCGGATTTAACTCCAAGTCAGCATAAAAAAATTCAATCAATTTTTCATTATTTTGCTAAAAAATCATAAACTAAAATTGGTCTCTTTATTTATTATAATTATGTATTATTAAATGATCACAGAAGAGTTCGACATCTAATCTAATTTCCGCTTCTCAAGATTTATATTTTAATTTCGGAATATAATTTATTAAAGAATATTTTAGATTTGGAGCAAATGGAAATTAGGGCTTCGGCTTAGGCATTAGATATATCCAAAGAAAAACAGAATAGTCATTTATGAAATGTCTAAAAACTGGCAGTTAACGTAACTCATTTGCCAAAGAATGAATTTTACAACTGGTTCCAGTCAATTTATTAGCCTCTCTCTAACAAGTCACTTGTTTGAGATCGTAAAAATCACAAAATCACGTGCATACATCTCAAACCTGCCGACATATATATGCATCTTAGTGACATGAAGTGCAACGTTATTAATTATTGATAGGAACTTTAGTCGTACATTTTTGGTGTAAATCTTCTAATGGCATATTGTCAGTTAGCAGAGATGTCATATTTAAACAATTTGCAATAGTAGTAACATGCAATGGGTTTCGTAGATACAAAAGCAACAAATTGGCAAAAGTGTCTAAGTAGCGAGCTAACGTTCTAGAGAATAATCGGTTTGGAACAATGGCCAACTTTAGTTAAAATTAATTGGTCCCTTGGACACTTCGAAACTCTACGTCGTGTTAAATAGACGTTCCGTTTAATCTAACTTCGAACTATGACGATCTTTCCGTATTCGTAGAAATATTGACTCGAATTCAACTAGGGTCATCGAAGCGAAAGGGGACTGTTATTCTAGAAAATGAAAATTGATGGCGATAAGAGAAATCAAACTTTAGACCTATGGTAGTTTTTTATTTCACCGAAAGCAATACCTACAGTCATTTCAGAAAATTTAACCGCTTAATTGCATTGCGCAACAATTTTTTTTTTCATTATTTTGGGCGTCACTAATACAAAAAGAAGATTTGAAAATGGTTTCCTGGGATTTTGAAATTTTCATGAAGTATAATTTTTGGGAAAACATTTTGTTTGGTTGGGGGATCGTTTTACCATGTTTTTTCTTAGAAGAAATTGAAAATGGATGTAATAGAATATACCGAACAACTAAATTTGTGAGGAAGTTGTTGAAACTCACATATAATTGAAAAATATTACTTCCGAAATTTTTGTTATAGTAAAAACTATGGGGTCCTTACCGATAAGAAATGTAATTTGGGGAAAATTGAATGCATTAAACGTGATTTAAAAATGAAACGAAACTCAAGTTTGTTCCTACTTTATTTTGTAAATCATTCAAGTATAACATAATATATATTATGTATTTTTTCGAAACAATTTTTTCCTTATCTAAAGAACGCAGAAGTATCATTTTTTAAACGGAACACCCCAAATTTCACAAAAAAATATAACACAACGTTTTTAATAAGAAGTTATAGTTGATATAATTAATTTCGAAACCATGTTATTTGGTTCGAGGAAAGCATAGTAAAATTAAAAGAAAAATCGAATACACAATAAAAAACTACTTCGAGGAAGAGAGCATTTTATAAAGGTGATTCCAGTGCAAATGAATTCAAATTGAATGTGTTAATAATTGAGATGAAAGCGTGTGAAGATGAAGTTGCAATGACGAGAAAAATTCAACCACTTTATATACATACAAATTTCGTGTCCTAGAGAGGTAATATATTCTAAAATTAAAGAAAACAAAAGTATATGGCACGGTCGGAATAATATACGGAAAAAAAGAAACCCCGAAAACCATATATGGGAAGACAGATGTCTAAATAACGCTGGAGTAAAAAAAAAGAAATACGGATACGGTGTAAAATTGACGGGCACGCGAAAATTACTTCTGTGCAATGTTGTGTGGGTTGGAAGAGAGATAGAGTAAGGTGTGCGGATAAAAATATCCGCACAAGATTAAGGAACGCACTGGTTGTGGAAACTGATGAAAACAATGGATTTTAAATTTTATTTAAATTATGGTTTTAATAAAAATTAAAAGATCGATTGTTATTTTTCAGCGTTGATTACTTTTGCTTCCACATAATACATTTATAGACCTTTGATTGTACCGTTCTTTGATATTTAAAATTGATTAATATATATAACATTAAGTCAAAGATTCCCAATGGAGTCGGTTAAATTAGAAAACATACGTGAATAATTGTTAGAAAGTTTTTCCTCCCTGCTTGATTGGGGTGTATATTCTTTCCCCTTGGGAAGTCAAAATACAACGAAATGAATAAAATGAAAAAATTATTAAACACGATACTGGATAGAGTAAAAATATATTTTTTTAATTAATGGATGAAATTGATGAAACTCTAACCCCAACTTTCATATTTTAAATGGCATGTTGTTAAGTGGAGTTTACATCGGCGTTTTTGATACAACTTATGGCTCACGAATTTGCCAGAAATTACTCTTTTTGAAGTGGTTAATTTTTGCCCATATGAACAACAATCATTTTGTTCTCAACTTGAAGAGTTAACAGTTACAGTTAATAAGGACTGATACACATTGACAACAATAAGGAATTGTCATTTTTGTCATATTTTGCATTTGGTGTAAAATGGGCTTTAAATATAAATATGTATAACTTTTTCCAATTTTCCAGATCCCTTTTAACCGAGGATATTTTGGGTCCCTGACACATTTTAAAAATAATTGATATTTTTGACCAATCTACCGATGTTTTTCTAGAAGGATATACAGGTTTACAATTGTTGTTTTTGCTTTCCAGCCTTACGACATGGGGTACAACTGAAATGTCATGCATGCGCATCGAACAGAACAATGTTGCTAATTATTAAGCATTTATGCGGTATGCGAAGTAATTAAAAATGTCGAGAGCTGAAACAAAACTATACTTACCGGCTTTCGGTATTCAAAAGCTTTCATTTTACTGCGATGAACATTTTTTAGTAATACTGACAAACAAAAGGCAAGGAAAATATGCAGTTCTGCAAGTGAAATTTTCTATAGATAAAATAAATCTCTTCTACTGACACGCTTAAAAAGAAAAACGTTGCACTCCTTTTTAACTCGAAAGGAAATTTCTTAGAATTTTATAATTGCGTTGCTCTCGTTTTTTATGAGTCCTTTTTTTATTTAATCGATGATGGGGCTGTCAGTTCGGCCATAAAAACAAAATTCTGAAGTTAGCATTTTGCTGCTAAATTACTTTTCTCTTATCCAAAATAAATGAAAATTTGCTTAATCAATTAGCTTAATTAAACGTTCGTTAATGAAACAACGAAAGCACAATATTAATGCACTTTAGGAAAAATGACTTACATTCGTCCTGATCTTTGGCGGTGACAGTAAGCACAGTATGCTGGATATCTTCATTTTCGTCGACCTCCGCCTCGTAGAGGGCCTTATCGAAATAAGGCGGGTTGTCATTCTTGTCGGCGATGCCAATACGTATGAACTTGGTCACTAAAAAAAAAATAGTTTCAGTCAATGCCTTGTGCACTACATGAATTGATCGGGTAATTTTATTTCAAAGATAAACCTTTAAGTTGTTGAGTTAACAAATAGAGATTTATATTTGAATTATTGATTAAGGATCTCTTCAAACACAGGACAAAAATACAAGTGTTACAAGCAGAGATTACCGTCCTAAGACTCTGCAAAGAAAATAAAATCCGAGTTAGTTTTGGATTACTCTAAGGCATTAAACGAGATAGGATGTTACAATAAAGTGACGCTATCATGGGTACCAGAGGCCACCAAGTTCATGAAAAAGTCGGCAAAGTGGCCGGGGAAAACTCGTCAAGAGGCATGATTATACCAGAACAGTTTTTCGTGTGGCTAAAGCCATTGCAAAATCAGTCATCAACCAAAAAATTGAAAAAGAATGCTGGAAATGGTGAAAAGACACGCCAGAGCAAATTCAACTCAAGGAATTCCTCAAAAGTCAATCGGAGAAATTTGCAACAGGCTCAGCAACAGGAAGGCAGTAAGAATTATGGTATGTCTAATGGCCGACCACAGCATGAAAAAAACAAAAAACACAGCAGAAGAAAACACAATGCAGATTCTGCCAAGAGGATGATGTGAAGGTCTATGGACAGTGCGTTTTTATCTGCTGGGCTTAACCAAACCAGAAGCAACGAGCTACTCCAAGATGCCGCTATCAAGGTTGTGTAGCTCTTAAATATGGAGGTAGTCACCACGGACCATTTCCTAAATGCTAACTTTCCCAATCTGAATCTGAAGTATGTCGTCAACCTTTTTGCACAACTTTTATTTTATTTAAACAAGATAATCTAAATTGGAATATCGGAAAGTATAGGGGATTCTAGAATTGTTAAATTTGGGCTTATTTCAGTTCTTCTAAGTAAATCTCAAGCATCTATCTAAACAATCTAAAATAGTAAAATTATTATAATTATATATTGTTGTTATACAATTAAAGTTAGATCGTACACTAAAAATATTAGAAATTTCTGGTTTTTTTAGAAATTTCAAAGATTGAAGAAATACTTCGTGTGATTGCTACCTTTAAATTAACCATAATTTTTAGATTCTAGATAATTCAAACAAGGAAACATATTTGTTCATAGTTTTTGTTTTGTAATTTTAATTTCGAGATTACACTATTAAGTGTTATATTTCCAGTAGTAATGTAATGATTTTTTTTCAGGCAACAATCGGTTGCTTACCATAAATTAAGCAACGGATAATTTCCTTGGGCGGCCTTGTCCGTATTTCTCTCCCTCCAAAACTTCTAATTATCGGATAAAACGTAAGCGAACGTATGTTAGGAAACTACTAATCGGAAATGATTTCCGTTAAGTTGCGCCATATTTCAGGAATGCTAAATTAAATTTTCCAAATCACTAGGAATGCGAATAGATGCCTACGCTAGGGCCATCAATTCAAGAATTCGGCAAAGCCGTCCCTTATTCGACCCCCCGAACCTCACCGCGAGTCGACGTTTACGTTCAAATGACTTCCGAACACAAAATTAATGATATTACGGTCGCGCGGCCGAAATCTGCGATCGTTCATTTTGATGGATATTTTTCAGCATTTTTTTTTTCACCACCGAGAATAAAGGAATTAATATCCGAAACCTCATCCACGAACTCCCAAAGATTTTTAGTTCTGAAACGACCTTTCCGCAATAAGAAATTCGATGTAAACAGTATATTTCCGGCACTTTAGTCACAAGTTTGGGGGCGATAGGATGTTTTCGGTAAATTTAAGGCACCGATGGTATTTTCACGTTGGTCTGAAAGGACAGTTACATGCCATTCAGTGAAAGTATTCGTTGTGTTTGGCAAAATTGTACCCTAAATAGTATACTATGTAACAGGTGTGGTGAGTCACGAGTTTATTTGGCACCAGCGGAGCGCAGCGGATCGAATGTTTAATAAACGAGTGACTTAAAAAGTTTACCAAACGTGTTGCATATACTTTTTCTACGACCGTCAATTCTTGGGTACATTCTTGCAAAACAACAGGAATGTGTTCACTGACATGACCGTCCGAATTGGCTAACGTAAAAATTCAAGCTATCCGTAGGACAAGAAACTCACGTGGTAAAGTGATGCGTCCTGCACGCTTTATCGATGTATAATTAAGTATTTTACCAAAGGAAGTAGAAAAACTAATAAATAACAATAAAATGAGGAAACTACTAGAGATTCTGGAAACTTTCGTTGTCTTTGTTTTTTGTTTACACAACGTTTTGGGGAGATAAACAGTACAGTCTGCACAATGGAAGTTCGACAATCTCCAAGTATTTCTATTGATTCATTGTCTACCACCTTCGAGCAAATAAAATAAGGGTTCAGTACGGAACACGCAAAACTTTTTGAGTCATTCAAACTTGTTGCATAATACATATAAAATTATTTCTTCTAAAATCTGGAAACAATTTCTTTTAATTCAATAAGTAACGTTTCGTAGTCAAAGTTAAGCTGAAGTCAGAAAATTAAAATGTTAAAAAATTTGAGTCGCAAATAATTTATTTTTACCAGTTTTACTAGAAATTTAAAATACGTTGAAAATATCAAAAAAATATTTGTAAATGAATACATAAATGAATTGGAAATAAAGAAATCATCGATTCAAATTGCTCTAAAGGCGAAAACTTTAACTAATCAAAACGTTAATTGAATTAAAACTTGTATTTCTAATATGTTTAAAGTTTTTTTAAATAAATTTCAAGACTTCGATATTGTTCAAACTTATAAATTAATACTGTCTAAATTTTCTATGTGCAAAGCTAGTCAAAACTACTCTTTAAAAATAAACCAAGCCTCATACATTAGTAACAACGATTTTTTTAAAATCTTCTTCCGAGACAGTTGAAGCGAAATAATTAGATCTGCTTGTTTATACAAAGCCCATCAAAATATTGACACAGGATGTATAGTACTGAATTATGGGGCCTTACGAAAACTGCCATTAAAATGATTTAAGCCACCCTTTTAATTAAAATGCAAACATATACAAATTGAAACTTAAAAGGGTCTTCCTTTTTCGTTTTCATGGCAAACAGTCAGTGAAAAAATGTTAGTCAAAGGGCAGAATTATCGCCAAAACAATTTTTTTTTCGATTATATCTAGTCCAACTTTATTCTATAATATTATTGAAATATCTTTACGTATACATTTTACTTTTTTGATTATAATTTTTCGCTTAATCTTGGTAATTTCTCAAGTAAGTATTTTTGAACGAAATAAATTGTACTGTTTATAATGATAACGATAACGAATAGCAAAACATGTTCACTTAATATCCCAATTACAGGTTCAATCAAGACCAAGTAATAAATTTCTTGTATTTGCTGGTAAAGTTGACTCACATATTTCATATAGTACTTGCGAAGTAAAATAAAATGGAATGGGTATTGCAGGCCCAATTTAAAACAATGCGGTTCTTGCAATTGTGAAAAATCGCCAGCCTTAAATGCGGTTGTTACATAGTAACTGATGTAACACCAGGATGAATGGGCGCAATTAGTTTTAGGGAAGCGTGCATATGATGGGCATTTTTCTTTTTCGCTTGACTGGGCTAGTTTTCTATCTCTAAGAGATACAACTCTTATTGACTTTAAAAGTAGAATAAGTATATGTGACAAATATGTCTGGCAAAATTCGTTTAGGTTATGCTTTTTACAAAACTTCTGGATTCCTCCTGCATCGGTTTTTGCTTAGTCGAAATTGCTGACGTTTTGCCAATCATCCTGTTGGCTTCTTCAGAACTTGACTGGAACTGGCTCGTATTTTACTCTGTACCTACTTATATATTGTTTGAGGGGGGCGCTAATGAGGGGTATAAACACCGTCTCAGATGACTGATTCCCAAATTTCGTTTAGTTTATTTTTTTAAGCAGAACATTGTGTGTGCTGATTTCTTATCAATATTTTAAATAAATAGGTTATGACTAAATTGGAGCAAAAAAGAGAAAACACCGCAAATTTTGACATTAATTCATTCAATAGGTCCTTAAAAAAAAGATATATATCTAGACAAAAAAATGATAAAATAAACTAAAAATTGTTAGGAAAGTATTTTTGGAATGAGTTTGATTGGATTCAAAAATATACCAGATTATAAAAATTTCAATTTGACACCTTCAATACACCAACAAGTAAAATGAGGGAGGTGAGGTGTTCTTTGTACATGAAAATAAATAAATAATGGGATGTTTATTTCTATTCATTCAAAGTTTTTTTCTAGTTCCTACTCTGAAAAACCCAATTATTTGCATTGATGACCAAGTTTGCGCATAGTGTGAATGATTTAGTCCTCGAAGTAAACGAAGTAGTAGAGAAGCCAGTGCTTCAAAAATAGTACCTAAATGTTTCTCCTTGCGTCAAATTGAATAACGCAAAAAATAATTAATCATAAATAGTAAATCAGTTTCGTTGTATATCGTCGACCACCATTGGCGGTGGATTTTTTGGGCCTAGCTAAATAGGTTTTAATTAATCGCTCGTGTAATTGGAAAATTATAGGATAAATATTTCCCTGTATGCTCGCATGTGTGCGTGTCGAACAATTTGTATGGAAAACTGTTTTAGAATCAACCTACAAATCCCGCTTTCATTAAATGCGTTGCATTGGGGAATAAATTTTTGCAAAACAATAGGCGCTATTTTGGATGCAACACTTTTATCCAACATTTTGTTACGCGGCCCTAATGGCATCTCCTGTCAATCTTCTGTTATTTTCAGCATCAAATTGTTACAATCAATGAATCTTGAGAAACAGAAAGATAAATTGCAATACCTTACAAAAAAATATTTTTAGTATATTATGCAAGCAGTGCGGTAAACGGCATTTGACTCACGAGTTTATTTGGCTCGAGCGGAGCGCAGGGGAGCGAGTGTTTAATAAACGAGTGACCTAAAAAGTTTATCGAACGTGTTGGATACTATACTTTTTCCACAACACAACACGAATACATTTACTGACG